GGTGGTAGCGGTGGAAAGCATTCATCTTATCATTTGGTAAAAAGCCAAGGCCAAGATTTGTCACTTTCTAAGCTTTTACATGTGCAATTTGGGACCACGGATTAAACAAAGTTACCAAAACACCCAAAACGGTATCCTATTTTATAAAAATTAAATCACTCAATTCTTTCAATATTCAGAATTTCAAAATGCTTAATAATTAATTCATATTGTTTTAATTACTTTTAATTAATGAACGTCCTTAACAAGAGTACACCACTATTCATATATATATTTTTTATCTTAAAATAATTGCATAAAGGATTGGTTTGATAAAATAAAACTATACCGCATAATGTGAAAACAAAGTCAAATTACAGAGTCTTAAATGAAAATTCTTCTTTGCATGAATGAAGGGGCTAAATGTGAAATAACAAAAAAAAGGCGAAATAATGATGTAACGTTCATCTTCTTGCTCTTTTTTTTTAATAAATAAATAAATAAATATATATATATATATATATTATTTTATTTTTTGATAATCGGGAGAGAACACTTTTTTTTTCCAGCAATTTTTCCCTCCTGCAGTAAAACTATAAATTGTTCAAGACCTTATCTTTCGCTTTCCATCTCTCTCCCTCTCTCGATTTTTACAGTAGCTGTAGAATCCCAGAAACTGATAGCCTTTGTTCTGTTTCTTTCCTCATCATCGTTTTCCCGAGAAATCGATCTCAAGAGGAAAGAAAGTTCCTTTTTTTGGTCATACTAAAGTTGTGTAGAAGATAAGAGAAAGCTTTCGCGTCGATTTTCTCCTTTTACTCGAGCTGAAAGCCTGAAAGCCGGTTTCGTGAATTTTCTCTCGTTTTCTGTAACTTTCTCGGGAAAATTTACAGAGTAAGGGGGCAGGAAAATAAGAGAATTGAATAACGACAAGAGTCTCCCCATTACTCTTATCCGTATACATCATCACTTTCTTTTTCTCAGTTTATTTCATCCAATATCTTCCTTCACTTTCCCGAGAACGTTTCGAGAAGAAACGACGTAAGATAGAGAAATCCCGGAAAAAAACCCGACCCAGAAAGCCAAACTCAACTTTCTATCCTTTCCCGTGATTCTCCCGAGGAAACAAAAGCAAAAACGAACCTGAGAAATGCTGAGCGGAGGAAATGGGTCCGTTTGGATGGAAGACAAAGACGAAAACGAGGAATCTGCTTCATGGGCAAGAGCCAACAACAAGGACAATGGTGGAAACAGAGAGGAGATGAACTCTCTGGCGAATTTCAAATCTATGCTCGAGGTTGAAGACGAGTGGTACCTACCATTCTCGCCGAATCTCGGTGACCCAGAGAATCTTCTGCTCCAAGCCGTGGATTCTTCGTCGTCATGCTCTCCATCGTCATCTGTTTTCAACAATCTCGCAGACCCATCTTCTCAGGGACAGTTCATCATGGCGCCGAAACCCACAATCTCCTCTCTCCTAGCCGTCGTCTCTAACAACCCTTTAGACCCATCATTCGATTTGAGCGAACTAGGGTTTCTAGGTAGTCAAAACCTCGCAACAGGAGCTTCTCAGAATCTGGAGAACAGGGTACTGGGAAATTTCGGTGACTTGGGTTCCAACAATCTGGGCTTAACCAGTTTCCGCTCCGCCAGTCAGTTCCCAGGTTCCCGGATGATCCAATTCCCGGAATCTGGATCTGGGTTCTCGGGATTTCGAGGTTTCGATGAGAATGGTGGGGATGCTTTGTTCATGAACAGGTCTAAGTTGCTAAGACCGCTCGAGACATTCCCTTCTGTGGGAGCACAACCGACCCTGTTTCAGAAGAGAGCTGCTGCTTTGAGGAAGAATCTTGCAGAAACTGGAGGCAGTTCGGCGACATTGGGCGTGTCGGTGGGATCTGTTGAAAGGGACAAAGGGAAGAAGAAGATGGGGAAGGAGATGGAGAAGAAGAGGAAAATCAGCAACATTGACGATTTGGATGAATTCAGCTGTGGTGATGCTTCTGCTCTGAACTATGATTCTGATGAAATCATGGAGAATATTAACAGGGTCAAGGAGATTGGCAAGAATGGTGGGAACAACTCGAATGGGAATAGTACAGTGACAGGAGAAGGAGATCACAAGGGGAAGAAGAAAGGATTGCCGGCCAAGAATCTAATGGCGGAGAGACGGAGGAGGAAGAAACTCAATGACAGGCTCTATATGCTCAGATCTGTTGTCCCAAAGATCAGCAAAGTAAGCATTGTTCTCTGTGTTTCTTTCTTCCTTTCCCATGAATGAGTTTCTGTTTATGTTTCTTTGAAGAAGATCATGCTGAAATGTGATGATCCTTTTTAGTGTCTGCATTAACTTTTGTCACAAGATACAACTCAGAGAATGATCTTTTTAGAAATCTTTTGCCATTGCATACTGGTTTATGGACCATAAGGTGCAATGATCAAACGTTTTGAATCATTTCATGAAAGGCTTTTGATTGAATCTCGAAAGCATCTGCGGATGAATCTTGAAAAAGGATGTGATATATGGATGGATGTTGGCAGATGGATAGAGCATCGATACTCGGAGACGCAATAGAATACCTGAAGGAACTTCTGAAGAAGATCAACGATCTCCACAACGAGCTGGAAACATCGACGCCTTCTTCACTCACAACGAGCTTTCACCCTCTAACTCCGACACCAGCTACTCTGCCTACTCATGTCAAGGATGAGATCGGGCCTCGACCCTTGCCTCCCCTCACTGCTACTAATAATGCTAACCCTCACCCTGCAAGGGTAGGATTCTTGCTCTGCATAGTGTTTATTATTTTAGATGAAGTATGTATATGTATGAATATGGGTTTTATGTATGTTATTGGAATAGGTGGAGGTGAGGGCAAGGGAAGGGAGAGGAGTGAACATACACATGTACTGGGGAAGAAGACCTGGTCTTCTCCTCTCCACAATGAGGGCTTTGGACAACCTTGGACTTGACATCCAACAAGCTGTCATTAGCTGCTTCAATGGCTTCTCCATGGACATATTTCGCGCCGAGGTATGATGTCTCACTAAGAATAGTAACAATGGGATAATATCTCTTAATAACATCTGATATGGTTCATGTCATGAACTTGGACCCTCCTTCCAAAAATTCAAATGATTTAAGCTAATGGTGTTTATATGATCAGCAATGCAAGGAAGAAGATGTTCATCCTGATCAGATCAAAGCTGTTCTCTTGGATTCTGCTGGCTTCCATGGCGTCTTGTGAGAATTGCGAAAAGTTAAGTGTCGGAGGAAAAAGACTTGTGCCTTTGTCGTTTGTTTTTTTTTACAGTGGAAAATGGTTTAAAAAAAAATTGTACCCTTGTGGTTGGTTTTAGTGGACCCATGATTTTTAGTTATTTTTTTATATTTTAAGCACTATATTCTTCTTTTAATTTAAAACGGTCCAAAGTTTCAAGATGTTTCTAAAGAAATAATAAGGAAAATTGATATGGGGAAAAAATAAGACATTATCAATTACCAGTAGTGATTTTTTTTTTTTTGGCAAGATAATAAATAATTGTAAACGACCTAATAAGTCCTTTACTCACTACCATTTCTGAAAGTTTGTGAACAAAAATTTACCACGTGTGTAAATAAATGTGACCTGTGAAAAAAAGAACAAGAGATGAAAATATTTGGGCCTATTAAAATAGAATACCACGTTTGGGCTTTATCCATAGCGAGCCCATTTTGAGAGTAATTTGACAAAGGCAGTGATAGAATCACAGATCGGTGGCTCACCCGCAACGGTGGGCCCACCAGAGCGAAAAACTCCCCATATCTTATCCAAGATAACGATAAGGCGCCAAACAGTGTATAGGAAAAAAAAACATTTTTTTCTCTTCTCTTCGCTTCTCTGTCTAACAATGGCGTTTGCTCCTTCCCTATCATCGTGTTCCTCAGTCTCTCAGTTCCTTCCTAGGTTCCCGAACGCCATTAGATCCATCAATGTACCTTCTGGGACCAGCAGCAGAGCGAGGATCCTCACCACCGTCGTTGCCGCCTCCGTCACTGACCTTACCGGCGTCGACAGCACGACCATAGCCGTCGTCGGCGGTGGATCGATGGCGGCGCTCGCGGCGGTGATATCGCTGACGGATCCGGAGAGACGGCGACGTATGCAGGCGGAGGAGGTCGGCGGCGGCGACAAGGAGGTAGTGAGGGAGTACTTCAACAGCACCGGGTTCGAGCGGTGGCGGAAGATATATGGCGAGACTGACGAAGTGAACCGAGTTCAGAAGGACATTCGACTCGGACACTCGAAGACGGTGGAGAACACGTTGATGATGTTGACGGAGGAAAGTTCGTTGGCCGGAGTTACGGTCTGCGACGCCGGCTGTGGAACCGGGTCTCTGTCGATTCCACTCGCTAAGGAAGGTGCGATCGTCTCTGCTAGTGATATATCTGCAGCCATGGTTGCTGAAGCCGAGAAGAAGGTGAGAATTCGAGCTACTGACTGTTGCATTTGGGGATTGTACTCGAACTTTTCCTAGGAAGGTTGTAGCTGAGAGTGAGATCAAAATTCAAAAATGGTGGATTCTGATGCTCTAGTACTCAGGAGGTTTTTGGGATATAGGTTGAAACAACGGTAGATTGGAAACCTGGTTTGAACCCTAGAAATGCAGAATCAGAAGCTCTGATATACAAGATTTAGCTCATATAGTCATATTCCTGGATGATATAGCTGATTTCCAACGGTATCGTTTGATGAATTGCTGCAGGCAAAAGAGCAACTCCCACCGGGGAGTTTGCCGAGATTTGAAGTGAAGGACCTAGAGAGCGTAAGCGGGAAGTATGACACAGTTATATGCCTTGATGTTCTGATACATTACCCTCAAAACAAAGCAGACGCCATGATCGCCCACCTCGCTTCACTGGCAGAGAAGAGACTCATTCTTAGTTTCGCCCCAAAGACGATTTACTATGATCTCTTAAAGCGGGTAGGAGAGCTTTTCCCGGGGCCTTCAAAGGCAACTAGGGCTTATCTCCATTCAGAGGCCGATGTCGAAAGAGCATTGCAAAAGGTTGGATGGAAAATAAGGAAGAGAGGACTCATCACCACTCAGTTCTACTTTGCCAAGCTCGTCGAAGCTGTTCCTTCCTAGAAGACTTAGAAATTAGGTCAGTTTTTCGGGGTTTATACTTGGAAAATTTTCTTTCTTGCTTTCTATATCAGTGTATCCAAGTGCAATATCGTGAATTCGTAACCTCGCTGAGAGTGTTCATTTGCAAATCTCTAACCGGAAACCTTGAAACTTGCCCGGGGAGAGATTCGATAAAGTATCTTACTCGAGCCTTCTCCATGCGCATGCAGGCCATGGACGTTTCGTTGTTCAATATCAGATGTGTAATATATAAGATTCTGAACTTGGGGATGGATAGGAAAGGAGGGTCAATCTTATTTTGAAAGCATGTAGTCCTCCTGACAGGATGATGAATCTTTCATCAATGGAAACAGGCAATAGAAAACTCGGAATCTTGAAAAGTCTCCATTCTTCTTGTTCTTCTGTTGTATGTCGGTATAACTTTTCAGCGATTTCCGGGATAGCTGGGAAGCTTCAAGGTGTGCACTTTCAACATTTTGTTATTACTCTCATCACATTGATCAACCTTTACAGATTTTGTTCATTTGACCATTCTCCTTCCACCTCACCAGTAAGAACAGTTTATGATCTGTATACACTATTGTTTTCTCCCCATTCTTATGATTGTGTTTTTGATATCTCTCTTTTTCGAATGCAGATTGAGAAAATGATATCTGGGTTGGGATTTTTACCTGACCCAGTTGGTGGATCTTTAGCTTTCCTTTTCAGCCTCCCCCCCCCCCCTTGATTGAGAAAATGATATCTGGGTTGGGATTTTTACCTGACCCAGTTGGTGGATCTTTATCTTTCCTTTCCCCCCCCCCCCCCCCCCTTCTGTAGATATTCCCTCTCCCCCGTCCCTCTCCACATCCATGGCATTGTTCTCATCATCAGCAGCAGCAGCAGCAGCAGCATCAATGCCCATTTCACCTAGAAACTCATTCCATGGCCGCCCTCTCAACTCCATTTTCCTGTTTCACACTTGTCCACTTCGTATTTCCCCTTTAACATTACCATCGTTTCATGAATCACCCACTTTGGGTTTCTACCCTTTCTTTCTTCTCCATGGCTTCTTCTTCTATCTACTACTTCTACTTCTTTTGGTTTTGTATTCGAATCAATTTTCCACCATGTTTTATAACATTAATGGTGGTTCAAAATTTGATTTTTTTTGGGTGATCTTGTGAGGGAGACACGGAATCATTCATATAAATTGTGAAATATGCGATTTGTTTGTGATTGTCCCTAACAGAATAGAATCTCAAATATGGAATGGCCAGCTTTGGGTTTTTCTTTCCTTGGATGGAAGTCCAAAGGTCTTCATACCTCATTTTAATTTGTCAAATATAATAACTTTTCTTCATTTAGGACCAATGGTTAGGATGCTTACATATAATAACAGAATCTCATGTAATAACTTTCCTTTAATGAAGAGCTTTGCCCATAAAAACATGATAAAGCTTTTTTGATTAGTTGAAATTTGTGATTCTTGGAATATTCCATATCCATGCATATGTATGTATATATGTGTGTATGTGCCAAAAAAAAAAGTATGATTCATGCTTGGTATATAGGTAGGAAAAAAAGCTCTTTAAGATGCCTCTTTAATTTTAGTTTTCTTTTTAAGGATTTAGCGTCTAGGGCCAGACAATCAGTTAGGATTCGACACGTGGAGACGTTTATCTTTTAGATGTATATATATTGTGGACATTAGAAACTACAAATATGGACCTTGTATTCGTCTCAAACTTGTATCGGTGGTTAGGACTCTCATAATAGGTAGCAAAATTCTCATGCAACGTACGAATCTATGGATATAATACTATTAAATATTAAATCACAATAGTTATTTTATGAAACGAAATTGAAAAAAAAAATAAAGAACAATAAGGGAAAAAAAATATGTGGAGGAGGAAGAAGGGCAAAAGAGTCCAAAAACTGTCAGAGAAAAGAAGTGATGGAACTGCAACTGCTTCCGCTGTAATAAGTAGTCAGTTACACCGAATCTTCTGTCTTTTCCCCCTAAACATGAAACTCGTTTCTCCCCTCCCCCACATATATACACACACACACACACATATATACACCTCTTCTTCGATATTCAAGATTTAATTGGGATACGCTCAAGCGGCTCAACTCTATACAAAAACAATTATTTTTTTAAAAAATCGCATATAAATGTTTAAACTTTTTTAAAAATCTCAAATAAATATTTAAATTATAAATTTTTTATATAAATATCTTAACTTTTCAAAAATCATTTATAAATATATATATTTTTGAAAAAATTTCAAATCAATTCAAAGTCAGATATTTTTTAAATAAAAATAGTCAATATCGTTAACCTAATTTAGATTTATTTAATTTATTTTTAAAAGTTTAGATATTTTTATATATTTTAAATAAAAATTCAAATATTCATATAGAAATTTTATAATTCAAATATATATATATATATATATATATATATATTTTACTGAGGGGGAGAGACATATAAACTTTGTTTTTTTTCATAAGATATATACACATATATTATATATATACAGTCAATAACAATCATTGTATTTTCATGGCGAGGCTCAATTAATATAAACTTTGAGGAAAGATATAATAATCCCATCTATCGGTATACCATATTTTCTACGAATATATCAAACTAAGAGAATGCGAGAATATTTTTTTGCAATTCTCATAATATAAAAAAACGTACGTATGTAAACGAGTGCGAAACTTAGGTCCCTCTCGACTATATTTCCTTTTTTATTCAATTAATTGTAAAATTTGACTTTGTGTTCTTCGAATACAAAACAAATAGAAAAAAAAAAAAGAATTTTTTTTTTCTATGAAGCAATCAAGCACCACTCAAAGACATCCACGTTTCGAGTTTCAATTCCAAATGTCACTGTTCCGTTCAGAAGGTTTGAGTGATTGATAACCTTCGCGAGTTGTCCCTTTCCTACGTTTGGTTTTATATCAAACTCAATCATTATTCATGTCTTAATTGCACATTAACTAAATTTAATTACTGTTATGTTTACTTTCAAACAAACCAACTTTATTTTGAATTACTAGTGAATACTTTTCATAGTCACGTTTATTCACGAACTAATATGGATGCTTTATTAATTAGAATATTACTAAAAAAGAATTGTCTTTCTTTTTGGGATTTAATGATTGTAAATGGTAACCAATTGAGTAGAAATGATTCATAGATTTACAAAAAAAAAACGTTGGTTTAAATATGTAAGGAAAAGTTTTTTTTTTAATAACGGAGGACTCCTAGCCGCTACCATTCGGACGTGCTGACTAGGTAAACTTCCGATCCAAGAACAACCTTTGTATATGGATCATATAAACTCCGAAATTACTTCCCTCCCCACTAGTCAGGATACGAATACTCAACTTCAAGGTGGAGTTAACTCCTACCCCAATCTTGATCACTCGCCCACGATCTGTTGAATAATATGTAAGGAAAAGTTACGTTTATTGAGTTGAAAAAAACAAGTTTATATAATTAAATGAGTTAGGATATTATAAATTTATATTTATATTTAGGTATACGATTTTGAATTTGTAAATTGAAAAGGTTTAGTTTAATTAATTATCGAATAATGATCAAACTTGAATTACGGTAGTATATAACTCTTTTTGGGATGATAGAAATTACGCAATCCGTTGATCATTTCCATGGTATATTTGATGTTTATTTGAAAGAAAAAAAAAACTTTTTTGTTCTGGCCCTAAATATAACTTACAAAAAAAATTATTATGTTATTATGATATATAATTATTAATTTAGTTGCATGATTTTGGGATGATTCTAAAATTTCAGTTATATTACAAAAAATGGTTGTAAATCTTTGCCTCTGATCAAATGGATTTTAATAAGTTCACCGTTTCCACGTGAAGCTTCCATCTTTCACCACCTCTCTCAACATCATTATTATTATTATTATTATTATTATTATTATTATTATTAAATTTGTTATCAATAGTATAATATTACACCTATGCAAAAAATCGTAATCGATATGAAAATTCTTTTTTTTATTTATATAATAGTTGTAAATATATATTCCTTTTTAAAATAAAATATACCTCAAACATACTGGATTTCATTCTATATAGAGACAACGTTATCATAATTTTATTTACTATGTAATAACCATCTAATTTGTTAATGACTATAATATTGGGTATTGTTTTGTAAACCGAATCTCAAATATAATAACAAAATACACGTGTCCACATTAGTTTATATTTCTCTCGTTTTGCTAATTGGATCCTTCTCTCGTATAATATTCTCTGAAATAAAATATACACTGATATTTAATATTTATTCAATAATATTAGCTAACGATTTATTTGAGAATTCTAAATAATTAAATACATGATTGAATGGCGTGGGACCGACCAATACAGCTCACTTATGATTGTCTTCACATTTTTAGGTGGGTTTACCTAAGCCTACGTGGCACATGTCTCTTCTATTTTTCCTGAATTGTTGAAGAAACTATATTAATATATCTAATATATTGATTTGATGGCAATTAGTATGTGAATCCTTGTTTTTAAACTGCATTAAAACATATATTAGCATTATATTTTATGATTTTGTGTACAAATGCGAGTTAAATTAAATTTTTTTTATTGTTTATGTATAACAAATTAATCTCAACATTTTTTCTGGTTTAATGGTGTGGATTATAAATTAAATTACCGTAGAGATACATTCAAGTCAAGCTATTATAAATAGATCATTATAATATTTCTATAGAATATTTGATAATTAAAATATATCGGAGTAAGTATAAGATTACTAACAAATTCTAGTAAATTAATAAAAACATTAGCAAGACTTACAACTTGCAAGGAACCAAACCTTCCCTAGAAGAAAAACAAGTACTTGATCAAATAATTCCTATATATATATACACTCTGTCATTATATAATTTTGATCATATTTGGAAACGACATATATTAATATCATACATTTTAGTCCTTTGCAATTATATAATATATATAATTTAAAAAATTATATAATAAATAGAGTAAGTTGAATAGTAATTAAACGTGCTTGTCCAATTTTGATATGATTTTTATTCATCAATTTTTTATATTTTTAATTAAAATTTTGTAAATTTGAAGACCCGAAAAATTAAAGTTACATTAATAAAAAATAAGAATATTATTTCAAAAACCCTATTTTTTATATTTAATATATAATACTTTTCCTGACTCGCTCACGCACCGCCGCATATTCACGTGTCGGAATTTCACGCGCCTGTCGCGTTCGCTGAAGGGCATAGTTGTAAATGAAGGAAAGTACGTGGAGTGTATTGTAATTAAATAATTTTTCTCATTAAATCCGAAAAATAAAATAAATAAAACAAGGAAAAAAGATAGCCAATAGAATAAAAGGATTTAGTTCCAGAAATCGGAAAACATAGGCAGTACACCGCACGTGCGCATTTCATGGACAAGATATATTTTCGTTCACATTTTCTTGTCCCTGTTTTTTTCTAATTTCATTTATAAATTATTTTCTGTACCTAATTTGCCAATAACTAAAAAAAATACCAAACTTGTGACCCAATTCTTTTCGTTGATTACCTAATATTTTTCCTTTTTAACCCGAGTTCAGTTTTTCTCATGAATTTCTTACATTTTAATTCATATATATATATAAATATAATTATTATTACTATTAAATTCAATCTATCATTGTTATTATTGTCGTCTCTCATTATAACAGTTGATTCATTATAAACCAAATAATAAAAAGTATAATATGATGAAACATTATATACACAATTGCTCCTTTTATTAAATGAATGATTTTAAATAAATAATATAATATTTAAAGTATTTTTTAAATAATTTTGAATGTTATATAAAATTTTCATAATTTCCAACACATTTAACTGTATATATATATATATATATTGTTTTACGTTACTCATATTTGAAAAACATGTTTTATTTAAAGATTCGGGGAGGTGATTTTTAATAAAAGAATCTTCAAATAATATTGCCCTCCACGTGTTAGGTGGCTTAGGTTTATTCATTTAATTAAAAATAAAACTATTTTCTATACATATTCTTAATTTTTTGGACAAAAGCTTATGATATTATATCAAATATCATATGTTATATGTATGTATCTAACGCTATATTAAACTTGTTATTATTACATAGATATTAGATACAGTGTCATATATACATATATGTGTGTGTGTTGTGTGTATCTTTGACTGAAAAGAAAGGATTCAAGCGAGTGAAGCGGCTCCTGACTCCAAAGTCCAACCACACACCCGCTCCTCCAAATTTCCGTTAACTGACGGCGTTAGTCATTTTCAATCTATTTAATTTTAAATAGAAAAAGGGTGAAGGGCTTCGTGTTTCAAGGCGACGGGTCTGATTTTAGTTGCCTTGCCGTTTTATCCACACCGCGTTACACGTTATCCTATCCTGCTCCTTCCCTCTTTTATTCCCTTTTTTTTTTGTTCTTTCTCCAACAAAAAAAGAAAAAAAAGAAAAAAAAACAGCGCTTCCATTCTCTCTCTCTTCAACCATTTGAATCCGAGCGTCCGGCGAGCGGAATCTCGCCGGGATCTTGCTTAGATTGTCGCCGGAATTCTCGTCCCAGCCGTTTCCGGCCATGCAGGACGTTGGATGAGAGGGGGAAATTTGATTTTTCCAATTTCTTTATTTTTTCATCCGAATTTTGCTTTGATCCTCGAAGGAGAGAGAGATCACCGGTAATTTTGCTTCGTTTTTATCTCTCTCGCCCGAACTTCCCCTGGATCTTCATCTCTGCCTGTGGCGAGGGATGAGTTCAGGAGAGAGAAGAGAGAGAGAGATGTACCTTTGATCTTGTCGGTTTTCCCTTTTCTTTAATTTTTTCCCATTAAAATATTCTGCCGGTGATCATTAGATAGAAGAAAAAAACAAAAAGAGCGAAGAGAAAAAAAAATCGTTTCCCTGGTGGTTTCTCTCTCTTATACGGTGGAGTAATTTAGCTTGCAATGCAGGGAAAAGATGCTAAGATCCTGTGCTGTTTCTTCGTTTCCTTTGCCTAGGGTTTCTCATCCCTCTTTCTCATCAACTTCATCTCTCCTGTTTGTTCTGTTCTGAAGAGAGAGAGAGAGAGAGAGCATTCAAACAAGCAATAGCATGCCCGGTAAGCCCTTTTTTCTTATCAAGTTTGATACTGGAGATTTAGGGTTCGTGGATTTTTCTCTATACCCTGTTGCGAGGAATTATGGATTTTGGTGGATCGGATGGGGACTTGGGCTGAAATTGAGCTCCTTAGAGTTTTGAGATTTCTGGAGATTGAATTGCCCCCAAAAGCTCCGTTTGTTGATCATTTCAATTTATTTGTTTAGAATTGTTTGAATTATTTAAAGCTTACCTAGTTATCTGTGGGGATCTTGGCATTATTTATGGAGATTTTCCTGTGAAGATGGAAATTTGGCTGTTTGGGACTTTAAATTATGCAACTTTCGTGTTTGATTTCTCATGCTTTGTAAGATGCTGCTGTTTTAAGTTCAAAATTTTAACTCCCTTTTTAGGAATTCAATTTCTTCAAGTCGTGTTTTTGAAGCACATGGGGTTTAAGTTTTGTCCAATGATTTAAACATTTAATCTTATTGGTTGTAACTTGTAACTTTGCAGCTTTCTCTAAGACAAAATGTGCGCAAATCTTAATAGTTGGAGTGAAGAATGCATCTGAAATTTCCCATGTTTCTTTCTTTACATGTTTTGAGTAGGACTCAGTGCCATGGCATTTGAACTTGTTGACTTCTATTCTTTTCAGGAGAAGAGTTGCGGTTGTTCACGTGAAGAGCAATTTAGAAAATTAATCTATATTTCTTTTGAGGGATCATTTGGTTTGTACAATGCCTTCTCAGACAATGGATCCGAGGGGTGTTTCTGCGCCAACCCACTATTATGAAGAAATTTTCACTAATTCTGAGGTACTCTTACGCTCCATGCAGATCGTGAAACATGGTCTCTCGAAACTGCTTCTTTTCTGTTATTGAATACCCCTTCAGTTTGACCATTTTGTTTTTGTTGGGCAGAGGCACATTGGTTATCGGAAGCCGGACAGTGTACCTCATGGCCAAGGTAAGAACCCTCTGCTTTCATTTTCTGCACCAGAAAGACTACCATTTCATTTGGTTTGGTGGTGAGTGACATTTTTGGGAATTGGGATGCCAAATCTTGGTGTTAAAGTTTTCAGGTTTTTGTGGTCTTTTATGGCAGTTTCAGTTTATTTAGTCTTTTGCACTCAATGTAAGGTCTGCCATAAGTTTTTTTTTCCTGGCTAAGCATTGTCTCTGCTGTTTCCAGTCTGAAAGGTAGCCCAAAGTGGTAAAAATTGGTTACACACTACGGGCGTAAGTGGAATGTAGTCGAAAATGGTAACATAAATCAAATTGACAAAAGATAGAATGAAGATATTAAATAGTAAAAGGTTTACCATATTTCTACTCTTTAAAAGCCATATTGCTTAGAACTGCAACAACAACCTTACTTCATCTGCTATGTTGTTTGATGTGTAAGTTCTCATGATTAATTTTTGTTTGAACCTGTGTACTGCCGGTACTTATGTTACATCTCCATTATTTTATACGAGTAGATTTATCAGTTTTCCCCTTCCATTTCGGATTTGTCGTGTAG